AATTTATTACATTACTTCATATTTAAATAATAAATAATAATATTTAATTAAATGTACTAATCAATATTATTATTTTTATTTCGAAATCATTTACGTGGGATGATAACACTAAGAGCAAAGTTAAGAAAGCGTGAGAAAGTCTAGCACGGAGGTGGTATTTCGAGTTTTCTTTTTGTCTTAAGAGAAACCCGGAGTCGGCATTTATCTCATAAGGCATATGGGTGCATGAAGTGCGAAATGGACAAAACCCGAAGCCATTGCCCGATCTAAGATGGGAGCGCGAAACCATAGAAGCGAGATTGGTGATTTCGGAATTAGTCCTTCAAGACATACGGGAGGGTCGATCAGCTATAGAGAGCATGTAATACGCATGGTAAATATATATATAATATTTTTTTATAATGATATCCTTAATAATTAATTAAATATTTGAGTATCTTTAATACGCTTACGTATATTTATTTCGCAGTAAGGTATCGGGTTGTGAACCTAATCCTCACGAGGTTTTTATGAGGACTCATTAGAGAAAGATTGATGATCAATATGTCTTTGTTAATCAACGATCAAGAGTTATCGATATAAGTTATTAGTTTATAACGTTATTTCATACATATTAGTTTATAACGTTATTTAACATAGTTGTTTAATATTATGTCTTTCACAATTATGCAGAAGACCATAGAAACATTAATAAATGAGGAGGAGGTTGCTAATCGACGGACCGAGGGGACTTCATCGACCGACGTCAACGGTAATGAGATTTTTCGAAAGGCCGTTAGATGTACGAACTCGAATCACACGTATTTCACTATTACTCTAATGTCGAGTACGACCTCTAGTTCAATAACTTAGCAGTTTCATATTGGTGATGAGGCACAACGAAAGGAAGTCGATGATCAAACGACTTGCAAATACGATAGAGATTTAGGAGCTACGGGGTATTGTCACAATGCCGTTGGCTACAACAAATGAGTTGAAGGAGTACACTCGACAATAACATGCGATAATGACATAGATGCAGTAGATGTTCCCGTAGTATTTTCATCACGGTAGTAGTTCATCCACCATTCTTAAGATTAACGACGACTCCAACTAACCTTCGGACGATTCCACCTAACCTCCGAGTGACGATCCTACTAATCTCTCACGAACTTTCATGTTTTCTTGTAACAACAAAAAACTTTATACTATTTTCAATAATTTAATAATTTAATAATATTTATTACATTTTAATAAATTTTATAATAAAATTATGAAATTTTACAATATTATGTTTTGGGTATTTATTAGACTTTTAAATAACAATTGGTTAATTTTAGAGATTAAATTGAATGCAAAACAAATATTGAAAATAACCGCTTAGTGATGAAATTATCGACGATTTTAACCATTGCTAATTATGCATTTATTATGATGAAAACAAGTCATCGCTAAATTACGACGATTGCGAGAGATGACTTCGTTTTACCGTCGTAATATTTCCTAGCTTTACTACCATTTTCTCGCGATGGTTTTTTTAATTTTGAGATGGTTTTATCCATCACTAAATTAGCAATGATCCGAAAACCGTCATAAAATTTTAGCGACTAGCATTTTACGGATGGATTTTATACCGTCGTAAAACCATCGTTAAATTTAATTAGCAATGATTTTTTTGGATTAGCTACGATCTTGATTGTCACTAATCCCTTAATTATTTGTAGTGCTTATTACAAATTGGGCAATTTTGTCTTTCAAAAAGTCTCGTTCAATTTTGCTCAAATTCTCACCTTTAGCGATAGATTTTTCCATCGCTAAATTATGAGGGACGTGTCCTTTAATGATAGAATACCCATTGCTAAATAATGACATTGAAAATAGCGGCGAATTTACCACTCCATCATTATTTTTCTTAGTAAATTCGTTGTTAAGCCATCTCTAAAACTCTTAAGAAGATTTTATCACCAAATTTAGTGATGGATTAGTGTTGATCATTGATAAACCATTGTTATTCCATCATTGATTCTAGCAATTGTTATTCTATCGTTATTTGCTTTCTATTTAGTGATTGACATATATCTCGTTGCTAATTTTATCACTATTTAGCAAAATTCTAATAATGTACTAATAACAATTTGAGAAGTTAACCAAGACATTGTGTCCATCTTTGGAAGAAGTCATGAAACCTTTATCGTAGAGGCTTTTATTGCACCAAGTCCACATAATTCAATAACAAGAACCAAACCAAGCATTCCATGAAACTTAGATGTTATCATGACTCTCCTTGACTCGCAAGGTTATTCCAAAACCAATCTTTCATGTTAAGCTAAAAAAGAAATTTGAATTTTCTAGGAGGTCCCACACATAATCCAAATTAATTTAGCATGAAATAAATTCCAAAAACATGAAGCACCGATTCCGGATGAGCTTCACATTAATAGTAGATTGACTCGGTCGATAAACCTCTATGAACCGTCTATTCATTGATGAGTAACTTGTCATAAATGATAAGCCAATAAAAACGATCTAAATCTTTGAGGACCATTCCAATGCCAAACCAAACCCCATCCGTCATCGATAACATTGGTAAGAGTATTCATGTTGAACTTATAAAAACATTCGAGTAGTGAAAGAACAACTACTAGATATACGTAACAAATTTTATCACATCGGTATTCACTCGAGAAGGAAGAATACACGCAATTGGCAAGTAGACGAAGTAAAAAGCACGCCATTGAACCTATTCCTTTACCAATGACCAAAAAAATTAATGATAAAATCTTTAACATAGGAGTGCAAGATGTCTTCAAGAATATGATGAATGGCATGATCATGTAGAGGACCCAAATCAAGAACTCAACAACCCTTCTAGAGTCCGACCTAAAGACCATCTTCACTAGAGTATTTAACTCCATGATAAACTTGATTTCAAACCCTTAATAACCACTTCCATAAATCGAAGGACCAGTTTGAAGAATAGAGTTGGGAGTTTGTTGAGAATCTAGCTTTTACTTTCGGTATAACACTCTCACCTAAAGACTAATTTTTAGAAAGGACCCCACCCAATTTTTATAAGAGGAGCATTATTTATATTTGTCAATCTTCTTAAACAAAGTCCAAGATTTAGTTTAGATTGACATAGTATTCTAAAAAACAAGATGAACTTTAGAAATTCGTCAAATGTACCCCATCAAAAATTATGATAGTGCCTCTTAATTTCCTTAATTCATGGTAGCATCGGGTAATTTAATAGTCCGCATGGTATACGAAAGAATTGCTTGGTAACATAGATTGGCTAAGAATAATCCTACCAACTAATCATGTCTTCCTCTTACTTGGGTTGACATAGGCCCACATATGTCACTAATGACGTGTTATACCACCAATGAATTAGTAATTTATATATGTCCTTACCGAGTTTTTAGTCATGGTTATGTAATCGGGGCAAGTAAGGGTCGAACACAAAAGGACAAAGAATCAATCAATTACTTTGGGTGCTCTTGTATGTAAAAGAGGGTTTTATGTATTTGAAATGCTTGAAAGTAAAACAAAATATTAAGAGATAACGAGTATAAGAGTAGCCTTGATTGAACTTTAATATCCACTTTTGATTTGGTCATTGATCATCGATTAAATAATTAACTCATCATAACATGAATATTCACCGTAAGACAACAACATGTTTGTTGACTCTAATCTTTCCTCACCTAGTCATTAATTGCATATACAATACTCAATTAATTCCATAGCTATTGAACAACCTACTAAGTGCTAGATAGATTTAATCTAACAATATCATTAAGTTGGGAAAGATAGGTGAAGCTAAGCTACTTTCCTAAGTGCTAGAGAAAATATAACATAGTTCTATATTTTTTAAGAAATTAAACAAAAACATCATTAATCATCAACTCCTAATTACTACCACAGGTAAGTTTAGGCAAGAAATTACACGAGACTTAAATACTTAGCTAGCAATAAGCAATACGAATAAATAACTAGTGTGCACTCTAATTGAATTAATCATATAATTATAAATCAATCATGTAAAAAAACATAAAATACCCAATAAAGATAAATTTAGAAATAAACTAGCAATCTCACATCTATTAACCAAAAGCTTTAACTTGATTCAACCAAGAAGGGAGTTTAGTTGTTCATGATACAAGTTATCATCTAAATTTTTGCCCTTATTACTTCTACTTCAATTTTTATTTTTGTTGCAAAATACCAAAAAAAAAAAATGAAAATGAAAAGAAAATAGGAAAAAAGAAAAAGAAAAAAAAATCAATTACAATAATTAGTTTAGGTTAATTAAAAAAAAAAAGAAAGGGAGGGGGTTAATTGAAGAAATGAACAGGTTTGGAGGTAATGAAAAAGGACAATTAAAGGTCTAATCAAAAAAATCAAAACTTCTATTCTTTAATTAAAATAAAAAGGAGACACAATTGGAAGAAACAAAAAGGAAAAGTCACAATTAATTGGAATTTAAGGACTCTATTGAAATTAAAAAAAAACAAAAATAAACTTGAATTGATGGTTAGGAGAGTATGGGGGACTAAAAAAATTTTTGTTAACAACCCAACATATAAAAGCCACCCCTATGCATTTTTTGGTATAAATTCACTGTTCATCATCAACTACAAGGCTCCAACTCGCCTCTCTTCATACACTAAACAAAAAACTACCTCTCATCTTCCTTTCCTCCACCCATAAATCCCCTTCACCATAACTCAAATAACCCCATAACACAGACCTCCACCTCCATTTTCTTCTCTCACACCCCTTCACCATCACTATAACTCCACCTCACCCAAAATCCTTCCACGACGACCCCTTTTTGACAAGCCATTACAACCCCTACCATTTTCTCCTCACAAACTCAACATGGCAACTCCTTCCTCACGAGTTACTATCCTAAGCTAATGCGGTAGCTTTTGACTCAAGCTCGCACCTAACTTCTTTAGTAGTAGGCTCCTTCATAGGCTCGCACGTGTCCCAATAACAACGGACCACTCGAGCATCTAGCTCCTCATAAGCATTCCAACTCTAGCGAGCTTCCCTCCAAGCTCGCGCATAGCTTTTCCGAGTAGTAGACCATCGCCTCGCGACCCCAACTCTAGTACGTACGTGCTTCTAACTCGCGCATCCATCCAACCCGGAGCGACCTCACTCTTTTGTCTAAAGCTCATGGCTAACCCCGAGTAGTAACACCCATGCTAGACGACCCACGAGATTAGCATCTCTTTACCGAGCTCTCTCCCTCCTAACGACTCCTTGCTCCAATTAAACAAACCACCACATGCCGACCTTCATTTTCTCACCAATGACCCCAAAGCTCACCTACATCGACTCAAAACACCCTTTAAAACAGACCACCAAACAGCCCCTTTTATACCCTTGAAACAACCTTTAAACACCCTATAAAACAACCACCAAATAGCTTTTTTTACCGCACCAAACATAGCCACCAAACAACCTCCCTACGACCTCGTTTTAGCTAGCATTTTCCTCACCTAAACGACCCCTAAAACAACCTCCATACAACCCCTTTTCCAACCACTTAAACAGATCCCTAAAACACCCCTAAAATAGACCATAATACAGCAATATTCCATAAGTTTAGTCCCTTATAAGTTACTCTAAAAAAATAATAATAAAAGAAAGAAAAAAAAAGAAAAAAAAATTTCTTGAGTTAGATTCTATTGGAGGAAATAACATGATGTTGTAGACTATATTTGTTTGATTTTTGATAAGAAATATATTAATAAAAGTCACATTGAGTTTTCAAGAAACTCTACAAAGTTTCGGGAACTTTGTATATTTTTCGATAACTTTTAGAGTATTTACATGAGCAACGGAGGAGTTTTTAGTCATTTTAGTGGGGCCAATAATACATTTTTCCAATAAACAGTCACTCTTCTTTCTCGTAATTGTATAATTAATTTTCATCGAGATTAAAGAGAGTAAAACCGATCTTATTTCCAACATTAGAATTTTAGAACTTTTGGGTAAATTCCAAAACCATTGCATTCTTTTCTTGAAAAACAAGATGGTTAAAAATGATTGGATTGTTTGATTATGTGAATAAAACTATTGCATTTTGTTTAAGTATCCATATTTTAAATGTGGTCAAAATGAATATTATTGTAATGGATATTAAAGGATAAACTACATTGTTTTACTATTTTATTCCCGCATGTCTAATATGAAGTTTGTCTTATTGTTATGATCGATTTATTAACTATGTTTGATTGTGTGAATTAAATTATTACATGACACTTAAACGTTCACGTGTTAAATGTTTTTTTAAAAAACAAATATTCCTATAATTAGCCATTTTGGACAAGCTGTGCATTTTTACACTTGTTTGTCTAAATGTAAAGTTTGTGCTTATCCTAGAGGTTGATTAATCAACTATGCCTTATTGTAATGTTGAAATAAAGCTATCGATAGCTTCCCATTTATGTGACAAAGTCATTGATGGTTTCGAAATGATTTTATCTGTTTACTATTCCCGATTCCTCGTTTCTTATCCTCTATTTTTTATTTTTTGTTTCACCAAAATGAAGTTGTCGGTAGCTTTCCACTTATGTAACGAAGCTATCAATTGGTTTTGAAATCATTTTATCGGTTTTTTATGCTTGTTTCCTGCTTGGTGTTTCCTATTTCTTTATTCCTTGTTTTTCACTTTTGTTTCCTATTTCTACCTTTTTGTTTCTTGTTTCATCAAAATGAAGCTAGCAATGGCTTCCCACTTATGTGATGATGCCGCAAGTGGTTTCAAAATAATTTTTATTTGTTTGAACCGAAGTTGCCGGTGGCTTCCCACCTAGATGACGAAACCTTTAGTGACTTCCAAATAGTTACTACTCCTTGCTCAAGCTAAATAAAATTGCTTGGTAGCTTCTAACTTGTGTGATGAGGTTATCATTAGCTTCAAACTCATTATTCAAAGTCATTGGTGGCTTCCCACTTGTGTGAGTAAAGCCGTTGGTGACTCGTTACTCATGCCAATAAAAGGCTATTTATCTTTAAAAACTTACCTAATTATTGATAATAGGTAGTGTTCAATAATGATTAGTTGAAATTCATAATTCCCCCACCTTTTCTCTATTGGGTAGAGAGTATTGGCCTTAGATCGACTCGAACTCCCAAACTACCTTATTTTATACTCGAATTTTCATGTTCCATATTTCTATAAAATAAACTCATTTAAATAGGTATAGAAGTGTAACATAATAAAAACTAGATTTTTATGTTCATAGGCAAACAATGCGACTTACCTTAAGTAGGACGGAATGTTAGTGATGTCATAGCTTCCCTATATATATAAACGACCTCTTACCTAAATATCTATATAGACTAGTATGTTTAGAATTTTCTAGTTTTTCTTGATTAGCTAGGTGGCAACTCCTTGTTTTGATCCCTCTCGTGGTGGCTAATATCGATAGAAGTGGCAACTCCGTTGGGGAGAATGCCATGCTAAGATCGGCTTTAAATATCCGTATTTTAAATCTCTTATTGTTTGTTACGCCCTTATGCCTATTTATTTAAATGAGTAATTACCGCTTATTCAATCGTTCTTTTTCTTGTCATGTGATGAAAATGTATATATATTTATGTATGTTATTTATGTTGTGCTTCCATTTGGCTTTAGTCATTGAATTTCTTATTGTGTGGTGGAAATATATATGTATTCATGTATGTTGTTTATTTTGTTTTTCTATGCGAGCTTTAGTCATTCTAATTTTTAGCCTTTATTTTGTATTTTGAGATTGGATATGAAGTGGTGCCCTCACATACTACACTCGCATAATTTTAAAAGTCATATACATTTGCCTTAAGATCTAATAAGAAATTACTCGTACCTCGATGGGTTTCGCTCCGGGTAGCACTCACGAAACCTCAACTCTTTTGGAAAGCTACCACTATCACGATAGGTAATCAATGGTCCCCATAATTACCACCTTCGTGCTTGGTCGGCCTCGGTTCTCCCAAGCCAAAAGAGACCTTGTTAAGACTTAGATAGATCATATCCAATCATGTAATGACTAGAACTAGACCTTAGGATCATATTTTGTGTAAATTCATTGGGCAAGTTAGATGTATCAAAACATTGATTGAACAATTGGTCACGAATGTTTCGGATGGGTGATAAGAAGATTCAAGTCCAAATTTGTGCAATGTTTGAATATCAAAGGAATGTCATGGCTTGATCAAAACATGCCAAAGGTTACCGATGGAGCTCAACTCCATCTTTAGACCAATTAATAACAAGACAATCCATCATGTTAGAGTTTTCAAAGGTTATTAATGAAATTTAAGTTCATCTATAAGCCAACTCAATTTAGTGCAAAAGGATTAAATAATCAATGACTAAATACTCTTATCACTCCCACGTGAAGGCTACTCTATCTCTAATTATAAATGTCTTTATTTTATTTTATTTACATTGTTATGTTTTCTTATTTTCCTTTCCAAGTGGAGAAACATAAGTCATCATGCTAAAATTGTATTTTCCCTTCAAAAGATTGACAACTTAAGGTAAAACAAAAATAGACAACGAAGAAAGAGTTCAAATTGAGCAAAGACATCAAAAGGAGTTAAGTATTTTGAAAGAAGAAGTGTCTAGGCTAGCTACTTTAATTGAGAAAAGTCCGTAAACTCATGCATCTACCGAAATGCCTCTTAGTTAAGAAATGGGTCGATCAACTACTTTCCCCAAGGTGTTGACTTTCATATCGATACCTACTTACTCGAGTGGTGATTTTTATGATACCTTTCCCGGCCATCCATCAAGAAGTTATCGGCATTATGAATATAACTAGTCACATTGCACTTGAAGGCATGTATGAGCTAGCCTATCTTGAAGTCTCGAGCTCGATTCCATGGCATCCATATATTTTTGCAAACTTAGGAAACTCATATATTTTGTAAACTCGAAGCAACTCATATGGTTGATTTGGTCGTTAACAAAAAACTAAAAAATAAGCCCAAAGACTAAAACTATGAAGCTTAGTGCCATGGAGGAATGTCTCGGAACCATAAAGGGCATAGAGATATACAACCCTCATTTTGACAATAGACGGATGCTTGATTTCGAATACCATGATTTCGAAATGTTCAAAGCATCATAATTATTTATGATAACCTTTATTCCCTTAGTGGTACAATCTCGATGAATCTCATGAGTATGAGGATGGCAAAATTTATCATAATATCAAAGATTATTTAGGCTTCTCTAACCATGCTCGTCATCGGTAGAGTGAACATGGGTGTGATAACAAAATGACATTTCTAAAATTTCCATATCTAGTTTGTTGGACATGTTATCTACTATCGGCATTAATAAGAAACCATCCAAGTCTCAAGCTCTTATTCATTTCTAGCCCTCCCATAAGTTCCACAAAGGGAGTAAACTCGATATTGATGATTGCCATGAATTTCATCAAGAGGTATAGACCATACTAGTTCTAGGCACATTGAGGGTTAAGAGAGAGGAAAAGATATCGGCGAAGTCTACTTACCTTGCTAATTTATGCAGCAAAGACATGAGTTTGAGCTAACCAACATTTTAGGAGCGAGAGAAAGTCGATGCTAAAAACAAAATCATATAACCTAGGTTAGTGTTTGATAATCCAAAAATGATGATGCTTTCACGCAATATATTTAAGGATGTCTTTGATGTCGATCAACTTATCTATGAGACAACCTAGGGAAGGAATTGAATGACTGGTCCGATGAAGAAACACCCTTTATTTTCAAGTTCAAGTAATTTCCTTATCGTATTTATCTATCGTGCTTTCATATAATGTCAATTTGAGGGATCATGTAAATTTTCTTCTCATACTACCACCTTTGCCTTTTTTTTCTATTATGTTTTATTCTCATTTTTACTCTATCTTTGGGATATTCAATATGATCATATCTCAAAAACAAAAACACCAAATGATTGTACAAAAAAAAAGATGGCCATTATAACTCTCATTATAATATGCACGATAATGAATACGAGAAGAATACTCAAAACTCATCGAGAGAAGCATGAATGTATCTTGATTTTGTGAATGAAATATTATCGTGTTTTGAATTTTTGAATTTCATTTTCATGGATTGGGTTATTTATTTGAAAAAGAAATTCTTAACATCTTGGCATGATCTTATTATTGATTTGAAATCAAAATATATTTATTTGAAAGTATCACTTGTCATTTTATGTCATCTAAATCAAAGCGAATAAAATGGTAAACTCATTCAAAATCTTTTAACATTGATCAACTTTTAAAACATGTCGTATAAATGTAAGGGTGCATTCCCTTTCTTTTGAAACCAAAAGTATTCCTCTCCTATCCTTCCAAAAAATTCTTACCTAAGATGATACATCAACACCCTCAAAACAAAGAAAACCAAAAAAAAAAAAAAAAAAGTGATATGATGTCTTAAATGATGATGAGTAGTATGC